ACTGGTTCACGTTGGCCTGCGGTGCTTCTCAGCCTGCAGTTCCTTTCGTTACACTGTAGTTGAAGCCGTTCATGGCAGTGACTCGTTTAAAGACAACTTTAGTATTGGGGGAAGTGTCGATAGCAGCGTTTCTTTTTACTTATACAAGCGTTGATAGCAGTGTCTCGTTTGTGGACAACTCATTATATATCAACTCATTCATACAGAGTTTCTTTTCGCAGCAAGTGAATGCACAGCAGTGTATCTGCATTACTGGCCCCCACTCCATTATCACTATCATCATCAACGATTTCCTACACGCGTGTGCGCGGCGGTCGCCATGAGTGAATAGTTTGCAGAGACTTCTCGCATTGATACCCATGGGTCACTTCAGAGTGAACTCATTTGTGATCTTCTTTCATTGGAAGTTGAATCGGTTGATGGCAGTGCCTCGTTTAAACTCCACTTTGGTATTGCTAGTAGTGTCAATGCCAGCGTTTCTTTTTAATTGTGCAAGCGTTGATAGCAGTGTCTCGTTTGTGGTTAGTTATAACAGCGTTGACAGCAGTGTCTCGTTTGCGGACACCTCATTGTACATCAACTCGCTGATACCGGGTTTCCTATCAACACCATCATCATCATCCTTAACCATGTTTGCTCGAGTTTCACCTGGCCGTCCAGCCGCGGCGGTGCTCCTCAGCCTGCCTTGTCACAATGCCAGCACGCGGCAAGGCATCGCCCCCGCCACCCCCGGCCCCGTGCGATGGCCCGTGGGAGATTCTGCCGGATCCGCCCGCACCGACTCCTCAGCCAGGTGTCGACGTGGTCTTTGAGCAGGCTCACCTCGAAGACATCCGCCGTGCACCAGGGATGGGCGGCAAGACCGCCTGCCAGTGGCAGCGCGCGCTGCGCGCCGAGTGCATTGTCAACAACTTGTCGTTCAAAGACGTAACAAACGACCCGTCCTACGACTGGAAGCAACTGCTTCGGTCTGCCGCTCCGGGTTTCGCTGAGCGCATAATCGGGCAGGGCATCGCCCAGGTTCTCTTTCGCATCATCGAGACAGAGCGCGACCCTAACTACTCCAACACGGATGGCCACGGCAGGCACTTCTTCGAGTTCCGTCGTGCAGACGGTTCAGCCATGCGCCTGCATTACCATAAGAACGGCCGACCCGATGAGCCCACCTATGTCGGTCCACCACGCGCCGTTGCTCAGCCTGCCGTGCCTGAGCCTGGCGCTGCTCAGCCTCATGTTCCTCGTGGCGGCGCTGCTCAGACTGCCGTGCCTGACGGTGGCGCTGCTCAGCCTGCCGAGACTGGCGGTGATGCCCCACTGCTCTTCACACAGGAGCACCTGCAAGAGGCAGCCTGCTCGCGCCAGATTGTGGGCCGCGACGAAGCCAGCGCCGCTCTCCAATCGCTGTTGCACTACCACCATGGCGAGACTGCCCCAGGTGCTGTTGACATCACCGATGGCTCAGCATTTGACTGGCTTCGATGGGTGGCACATATCGAAGGTGCGCGCGACGTCATCCGCAATGGCGTCCACAGGGTCTACGCTGTCCGCTGGAATCCGCACTGGGCTCCAGAGGCCGTCTTCTGCTACGGCAACAACACCTACAGCACACTGGTGCCCCGCAAATCGCGCTACACAGGCTCGTGGAGCCACGCGCGAATTGTGACTCACCGGAACGCCAATTGGGTGACCGAACCGTTGCTATCTGCGGCCCCTGTGGCAGCTACGCCGTGGCTGGTGTTGCGGGATCAAATAACCTGGGAGTGATCTCTGGCAAACGAGATGTGGTGCTTCTCAGCCTGCACTCATGTGACACGCAATGCCGTGCCCTGCAATCGCGTGGTGTTTCTCAGCCTGCACTCGCAGGTCCTTCGGAGGTCAATTGTTATGAGTTCGGCACGGTCTCGGTCAAGTACAGCGTGCTGTGGGGATCCCGAGATGGGGCCTGGCTCAAGGTGCTCAAGACGTACTGGAGTGTCCCAGAGCCGGAGTGCCAGCTGATCCTCGGGAGTTGGAACGGCATTTTCAGGCCGTGGCCGGACACGTTCTGGATCAGGACGGGGGGGTCCGAGCCCGAGATAGATGCTAGCGCTCTGCAGTACAAGTGCTTTTCAGCATGCGACATCCTGCGGTGCTTCTCAGCCTGCAGGGTTCGCAGCGTGCGGTTTGCAATGCATTCCTTTTCAGTATGCGAGTTCCTGCGGTGTTTCTCAGGTTGCAGGGCTCCGAGGCTCTTCCCTTCGATGCCAATGTTTTCAGACACCGTAGCTCCGTTCCGTAAACATCTTCCAAGAGCCGCTCGCAACTTTTTGCAGCTGGCGGTCTGCAGACGTAGTCTGTCTCAGCATGCGAGCTCCCGCACGCTTCGCCGGCTTTTGCTGCGCGGACAATTTTCTCACACACGTCAGCGCCGTTTGTAGGCGTCAGAAAAACATGTAGACATTCACGAAGGGCTCAGTCTGTATATCGTCACATCATTACATACGCAGTCGTCGAACACATCGGTGTACATTCAGCGCTTTGTCCTTCTAGCTGGGTCGCTTCGTGCTGAGGCTGAGGCTGATGCAGGCTGAGGCTGAGGCAGGCTGAGGCTGAGGCCGAGGCCGACGGCAGACTGAGGCTGAGGCTGAAGCAGGCTGAGGCTGAGGCAGAGGCAGGCTGAGGCTGAGGCTGAGGCTGAGGCAGGCTGATGCTGAGGCAGGCTGAGGCTGAGGCTGAGGCTGATGCAGGCTGAGGCTGAGGCAGGCTGAGGCTGAGGCCGAGGCCGAAGGCAGACTGATGCTGAGGCTGAAGCAGGCTGAGGCTGAGGCTGAGGCAGGCTGAGGCTGAGGCAGGCGGAGGCTGAGGCTGAGGCAGGCTGAGGCTGAGGCTGTGACTGCGACTGCCGTTGCCACTGCGACTGTCCTCGCGAATGCGACAACGACTGCGAGAACAGCAGAATTCTACAACTGGATTCTCATCCGAATCTTAAGGGGAATGCTTCCAGATATGCTCCTACACATGGCTGTTAGGTTGCTTTGCCGGGATAATTTTTTAGACTCTTAGGGAATCTCTTCAGGGCTTTTGCAGAATTTGCAGGAATTCTTGATGCTTCGCGTATCCCGACCAGCCCATCCAGAAACGATGTCCAGTCAAGTTGAAGAGATCAGGGAAGTGGGGGAGCAACGAGAGGGACAGCCGATCCGTGCAAAGGATGAGGCGGAAGAGGAGGCCAGATGGATAGACGAGGGTTTGGCGAGGAACCGAGCGAAGGAGGGATGAGGAAAATTATGACGCTGGGTGGATGGTTGAATGCCGCTAGGATGCCTCTTGGAAGCCTTTTGGAAGCCTCTTCGGGCGTCTTGGGGTCTCTTGGCGGTTGGGCGTCTTGGGTGCTTCGGGGGGGCCTCTTGAGGCCGCTTGGGATCCTCTTGGGGGGCTCTTGGGGGCCTGTTGGAGGCCTCTTGGGGCCTCTAGGGGGTCTCTTGGAGCTTCATGGCGGCCTCTTGGAGCCTCTTGGAGGCCTCTTGGAACCATCTTGGGAGCCTCTTGGAGCCTCTTGGGGGCTTCTTGGGGCCTCATGGCGGCCTCTTGGGGCCTCTTGGAGGCCTCTTGGAAGCCTCTTGGGGCCTCCTGGGCGCCTCTTGGGACCATCTTGGAGGAGATCGATCAAAGAAGATGGTGGAGTTAATTGTCTGGACCCCTCTTGGGGTGCTCTTGGAGCGCTCTTGGGCGCTCTTGGGGCCGTCTTGGGGCCCTCTTGGGCCCCTCTTGGGGCCTCCTTGGCCCCTCTTGGAGCCATGTTGAGGCCTCAGATGGCCATCGCAAGCGAAAATGCGAGAAGCCGAAAATCATTGGTTCTCCGTCGGTTTTTGAAGGATTTTGGCTTCTTGGGGGGCCTCCTTGGGGAGATAATTGGCCTCTTGGAGCTGTCTTGGAGCGTTCTGAGAGCGTCTTGGAGCATCTTCGGAGCCATCTTGCGGCATCTTAGGCTATCTTGAGCCATCTTGGAAGTCATCTTGGATTATCCGAGGCGCTCATGGAGCCATCCTGGGCCATCTTGGACACTCTGACCGCTCGCGACCGGGCCCGTCCAGGTCCAGGGGAGGGGGTTAGGGGGAGGGGTAAACCCCTCCCCGAAGGGGAAGAAGGAAAGATGGAAGAGGAAACTCCCTAAACCACCTACGCCCAGAGGGCTGGTGGGATTCAGGGGAGGTCTGCGGAATCCTTAGGAAGGGATCCACAGGAATCCCGAGGAGACAAGAGGAATCCTGACCCCGAGGGATCATGAGGAGTTCTGAGGAGCCCCGAGGACGCCAGAGAATCCGGAAGGTTCTGCAAGAACCCGGATGGGTTCCGAGGAGTCCTGAGGAATCCTGAGAATTCTTGAGGGTTCCCGAGGACTCGTGCTGAGACCCGAGGAATCTAAAGGGTTGAGGAAGATATGTATCCAGAGGTTCTCAAAGGAAGCTGAGGCCCTGAGGAACCCAGAGGTTTCCCGACGAATCCCAAGAAGAGCTCATGAATCCTAAGGAATCTTGAGGCCCAATGATTCCTGAGGGTTCGTGAGGACTCTCGTCTGAGAAATCCTGGAGACTCTCGACGACCCCGCGGAATCCGGTTTGGTCTTGAAGTTTCGCGAGAGGAATCGTTGGGCCCGAGGCTCGGCCAGGTCGCGGAGAGACGCAGGGGGTGGCGATGCGTCGTGATCGAGTCCTGGCATGCGGCGATGGTGCCCTCGCTTTCTCGCCGCCTCGCACACTCGCCCTCGCCACCCCCCATCCCCCGCCATTCTCCCCTCTTCTCCCCGCATCCACCCGCGCGCGAGGGGGGCAGAAGGAGGAGGGACGCAGAGGGAGGAGGTGGAGGGAGGAGGGATGCGGATCAGGAGGGAGGAGGGAGAGAGGGAAACAGAGGATTCCCAGGATTTCCGCCATCACGTAGTGTTAAAGATGAAACAACCCAACACTGCCAGGGCATGTGCAGTGACCTCAAACGGCCTAGGAGGGGAGTGGGACTCAGAGGTGCACGTACACGTCCTACGCCTCCAGGACCGACCTCCCCCCGAGGGGAGGGGGACCCCCTGCCACCCGCCAGGCACTCCAGGCACTGGCCTGGGACACAGGACACCCCTCGCCACCAGGCGGGGCACCTGGTGCGAGTCTCGGGGCTGGTGCCCTGGCCTGCTCCCCCCAGTCCCCTTGCCCAAGGGGGACAGAGCAGGACTCCCCATGAGCCTGGCCGAAGCCAGACCCCCCCTCCACACCCTGGCGCGACCGGGGAGTCGCCGGGCCAAGACAGTGCAGGGGACCCGAAGTATGAGCTAGGAGGTAGGAGGTAGGAGGGTGGAGGGAGGAAGGAGGAAGAGGGGGGAGGCGGCAGGAGGGAGGAAGCGGAGGGAGGAGGGAGGCGGGAGGAGGGAGGAGGGAGGGGGGAGAAGGAGCAGGAGGAGGAGGAGGAGGAGCAGCAGCAGGAGGAGTATAGCAGGAGCAGGAACCAGTGGCGGTGTCATCGACATTCGGCGCCCCCCCGCTCAGAACAAAAGCCATGCGATGCTTCGCTTTCACCGTTATTTCATGTCCCTCAACCCGAGGCGGCACACTCATCGAGTCCCATGCAGCTGGCCCAAATACATTGAGACAAAAGCCAATGATGAAGGAAGCAACAATGCACAAACGAGAACAATGGCTCCGCGAACGGGGGATGAGAAACCAAGCAAACCGCCCCACAACTATCTATGTGCGACGAGAAACTTTGGCAACCAAGCTGAATGGCACATAGCACACATTGGAACGCAATGTGTACCTACGTATAGGAGTCACGTTCACCACCCATGGAACTTTACCGTAGAGAGTGCAGGCCGAGCCGAGTATACGAGCAATATCGCTTGGCACCGCCGGAAACCAGCGGCTTGGCGAGCGGTTAAGCAGGATCCACCAGAGCCTTACTTCCGAGCCACACGCCAACAACCAAAGGCGCTAAGTAGCTTCACAATAGCCGTCGGCGCCGAAACCGCCGTCTGCACAATGACAAGTGTTCGTGGTGTACCTCCAGCAGAAGTGCCACGACGAGCGAAAGCGAAGTGAAAGCCTGACAGACCTGCGAACAAAGGAGCGAAGTGACTAAGCACGTTGAGTTGATTACGAGACAGCATGAATCCCTCCCCCACCACAGCCCCACAGCTGAAGCACGCCCAGGCAAGGAGGGTTTGGTTGGGCACAGCCCGCCGGGCCCTTCACCAGCCTGGGACGAACGCCGCCCGCGCAGTGCAGGAAGGAAACAGCCCGAGTAAGTGGAGACGAGCTGTCCCACTGCCTCCCCGACATTGAAGTATTTGTGTGGAGTGTTGTGCCGGGCACACCCCGCCGGGCCGGGACCTCCACCTGGGGCCGACGCCGCCCTGGGAGTGCAGGAATGAGAATCAAGGTCCAGCCAGCACCAGCTGCTGAGGAAAGTTCGCATGACTCACACGTGTTACGAACCGTTCGTCCCAATCTTGGTCGATTGCAGTAGGATGCCAAAGGCGCCAACTGCAGTAGATGCAAGCACGCCGCGACGAGGCGCTGGGACGCGACGGCGAGGCAACCCAGAGGTTAAGATGACAAATGGCTATGGAGGCGCCTCGGGCCGGGCCGCTTGTGCTTGGGAGGAGGAGTTGGAGGAGGCGGAGGAGGAGGAGGCGGAGGAGGAGGAGGAGGGAGGAAGATGGAGCGAGTCGTGGCAGCTCACACAGGGTATCCTGGAGAAGTTGAAGACGTGGGAACTTTCCCATTTGAGGCGCATGTTCAAACTTCGCCCGCGCCCAGAGGAGCAACGGGGAACGTTTATGATCCGTTCAGCTGGACAAATCACTCGATGGTTCAAGTTGACTGGTATACCCATGCTGCACCACCGGGTCTTGACCATGGTGTAGATGAACGCTTGGCGAGAAGTCGATTTTCAATTACCAAATGGTCACGCGCCTCTTCGTTGGGCTCGGGAACACCGGAACGCTCTTGAGTGGCAGTTTATGAAAGCCTTTGGAGATCGCGCGCGACGGCGAGAAGGGCTCTTGCAGGCGAGGTCAGGGCATCGACAATCCTGGGAAGACGTCTTTGTGGGACTATGGGGCGCTGACTGGAGGAGCCGCAGAGCAGCCTACAGAGACATGCCCGCCTGGAAGAAACACAGTCCTCAGTTCGTCAACGCCGTGTGCCGCAAATTGTCCCTCCCGCTCCTGCAGTAGCCGGACGAGCGAGTCCCGCTCAGGTTGATAGATCATCTTCCACAACGTCTTCAAAGTCTGGGAATCTGCCGCCAATGGCGCACCACCCAGGACAACCAGTGGGGTGAAAGCAGCTGGTGCTTGAGTGTAGCGGTGGATTGCAGACTATTGGCCGACCTCTTGAACGGCGTGGCCGTCGCAGCTACAGAGGAGCACCGACCGTCGTTTATTCGAATGGCCCGTCGCTTGGAGCAGTTGTTGGCGGGAGGATGGGCTAGCAGAGTACCTTGGGTAGATATGATCGAATGGAGATCTCGTGCATTCAACGCTCAAGCAAACCATGTGGCCAACGTTGCAGTGAATACTTCGCAATCCTTGAGGCATGTCGACATCGTCAAAGCCAGAGAGCATGTGATGAGAGGTGGGAGCTTACGAATTTATAGCGATGGTGGTCACGTGCAGCGGAGGACGGAGCATCTGCAATATGGGTGTTGTACGCCATTCGACGTCAAGGGGGCTCGTGGGTGTATACCATGGTAGGTCATTCAGGCATCAGTATACACGGGGCGACCAAAGCTTTCATTGCTGAGTGCGTTGCCTTGGAGTCAGCGTTGGACGCGCTTGGCGATGTAGTTTCACATTCGTAGTATCTTTCCGGGCTGATTATGATGAACTCGAGGCGCGCCATGGCGTCAAGCCTTGCGGAAGAAGAAGAAGACGTGAGGAACAGGTGTCCCCGGGTTCTACCTCTAGGACCTGTCAAAGCTTTTGGGGCCTTCACCCCAAAGGCTCATCATGGTCGGGTGCTGACCCTCCCACCGACAGTTTGGCATTCCCGCGCGCAGCTGAGACACCACCCACCATGCGCTTGCTCGAAAATGCTGCAGAGTTCACGTGCACAGAACGTGCGCGTGGCTGAACTATCAACAACTACGTGCCCTTCTCGCAGTGCCAGTTGCTGCCGCTGTACTCCTTATCGCAGGAGCCGGCCCCGGCGTTGGTAGCCGATGAGCCTCTGCTGAGTCCCATTCGCAGTGCCAGTTGCTAACACTGCACACCTTCTCATACGCGCTGCCCCCCAGCGTTGTAGCTGATTGCGTGCCGCTCCTGTACCTTGCTTCTTGCAGTGCCTGTCTCGGCCGCCATTGCCTGGATTGTCGCACGCACTGATCCCGTCGTTGTAGCTGGTGCGTTGGCCACTGCTGAGCTGATGCCGCCGCCACTGCATACCTTGCGCGAGCCGCTCCCCGCCTTGTACTTGATCGCGTGTCGCTTCTGACCTTTCGCTGCCTTCTCGCACGAGCTGCCCCCAACGCTGTAGCTGATGACGTGCTGCTCCTGCTCTGCCGTGTGGCGTTGGCCTCTGTTGCTGCCGCCGCCACCGCGCGCTTTCTCGCACCAGCTAAACCGAACGTTAAATCTGGTCATACACTGCTGTTGAATTCTCTCACGAGCTGCACCCTAGCGTTGTAGCTGATGACCCGTTGCTCCTGCTGTCGTCACTGTACTCCTTTCCACACAAACTGAGTCCCCAGCGATGTCTTCATCACGTGCCGCTCCTGTGCATTCTGCTGCGGTGCTCGGCCACTGCAGCCATTGTGCTCCTTCTCGCACTCGCCGCCTCCAGCGTCGTAGCTGCTGACGTGCTGCCCCTGCACTGTTGCTGATGACGTGCTGCCCCTGCTCCAGTCACTGCACGCCTTTTCGCACGCGCCGCGCCGCCTCTAGCGTCGTAGCTGACGACTTAATGCTAGCGCAAAGCCAGCCTCCACTGACACTGCCGGCCTTGTAGCAGGACGCGCTGCCACTGCCTGCTCTTGGCCTCTTCGGCCGAGCCGGCTGCCGCTGCCTGCCTTGACGCGCGAGCTGATTGCAGTGGAGGCTCTGATGATGTACGGCTCGGGCGCCAGCTCGTTCTGTCAAATCATGCCCCCATCGCTGTCTTCCTTCACTGTTGGCTGCGTGCATCGCCTGGCGCGGCCCCATACCCGTTCCCCAATGCTGCCCGATCTCCTCACTGTAACATAAGACGTTCGGCCCCTTTTTATGGACCGAAACTGTATGGCCATTCCTAAGTGTGCCGTCTCAACCCAGGCCGCCCCCACCCCTGCCCCGAACGGAGTAGCGAGGAGGGGAAGGAGGAAACGGGAAGGAGAAAGAGGGGCAGACGGAGGGGGAGGGAAGATGGCTGAGTCCCCCGCCCCCTCCCGATGGGCACGCCAGAAGGAGTCGCGCCCCCTCTCCTCTTCCCACTTCCCACCGATCTGCAGGGGCCGGCGCGCCGCTGGCTCGCGATGTTGGCGATGCCGGGGGGCTCGGCCGAGCCGGGGGACTCCGAGGCACCGCTGCCTTTGCCGCTGTCGCCGCCGCTGCCCGCTCCCGCACTGATGCACCACCCCCCGCTGTCCGTTTTGTCAAAAACCACTTCAAAATGTTCGTGGCGCGCCCGCGCATGAACCAGCTTTTGCCACACAGTGTGCTTTGCATGGTGTGTTGACAAGGATGGTGGGTCTGCGCGGTCCAGACTTTGCCGCAAAGTGTGTTGCGAAGGCTTTACGGCCGGTGCCGCCGACCCTGAAGGGGAACGACGACAACGGCGGCGGCAGCGACGACGACGACGCTGACGTGGGTCAGAGTCCTCATGGATGCTTCTTGGGGTCTCTGCGGAAGCGCTCTCAAGGCCTCTTGGGAGCGTCTTGGGGGCCTCTTGGGAGCCTCTTGGGGGCCTCTCGTGGCTTCCCGGGGGCCTCTTGGGGGCCTCTTGGGAACCTCTTGGGGGTCTCTTGGGGACCTCTTGGTTCCTCCTGGAGCCTCTCGGGGCCGAGGGCTCGAAATGTTCGTTCTGGT